ACCTCCTTATGTTGTTCGAGGAAGCTCTTGGAATCGGCGAATTAGACACCCAAAGACAGGAGTTTCCCTAACTATGGTTTTCAGTATCTACTTGAGTATTCATCGAAGACAACGGGCATGTATGTCATGGATCGCCGCCGCACTGTGTAGATGGCTCCACCATTTGCGTGTATCATCGTTATCCGTATAGTCTATGGCTCTGTGCGACTGAGGTCTCTGCGACACGCGATGTAAAGTTGGGAAAACGAGTAACAAAGCTATTTACCGATCTCAATTTCTTGGGTAAGGAGGATGTCGTGTACATGTCCCCAGACAGAGACGGGACTGGCCTAAGCCAGATCCGCTCAGCCCGGAAGTGATGGCGTTCTTGCCAAGTTGTTCGTATCCAGGGTGTGATTACGAACTGTAGAACGAGAGTAATAGTCGTTGGGGTTAGGATGCGCCGGCGTTGACGGCGGAGGTGAAGGACTTGGTGAGGATGTTACGGCATCGCATGCGCTGGGATCAGTCGACTCTTTCTGCATGAATACTGCCGATGGCGGATACCAGCTTAGTCAAATTACTTACAGGAACTGTGAAGAAGGGCTCGACAGTGCATGGCCTGTTGTGAAGTGTTCAAAAGAAAACAGGACGTCTAGATCAAGTTAACGCTGTCATGACGGTGACATTCTGAGGCAATGGAGTTTGTGCTTGACCTATCTGTGTATTATGAGATTAGTGTGAATTACGCTGAGAATTATCTGCGTAAGCTCAGTCAAGCAACAGAAGGCAAAACCAAATCATCTTTCCATCCAGCACTCATGGAGCTACGAACTTCCATCATATCCTGAGATGTGGTAGTCGCACAATGTTCACCAGGCCTTTCTTAAGAATCTCGTCAGAGCCGTGATGGCAAAACAGGCACCCCAGATGCAGAAGATCAGCAGGAGCAGCCAGATGGCGAGCATTCCGAGGAGCTCCCGGCCTGTCGTATGGCAGCAGCCGCAGTCTCTGCACTCTCCCGGGCGACCATCGCGAACCTTTTCAGCCTCAGGGCCGGCATCTCTGATGGCAATGACAACCCAATGATCTAGTGTATTTTAGTTAGCACTTATAATATATAGCTCATTAAATAAGCACTCACTATCGTGATCACACATACTCACGGCCAGAATATCCCACTTGCGCGAGGCAATGTCCTCAACGAGGTGAAGACTATGACTGTTAGTGGTGCAATCTCGCAGGATCATAGCATGCCACGGGTGACATGGACAGTCCTTGCGGGGTCCCTCGAAGACTCGGATATGTCGAGGCTGAGTTGAGAGGTAACCATCGTCGAAGTTTGCACCGGGAGGTCCCTGGATATGCACATTGACTGAAACATCGTAAGCTGGGTTGAAGACAAGGACAGATTGGCATTTACCCGTCATGGACACAAAGTTCGTGGGACAGGGATTAAGCTTGAAGCCAGTGAAGGCTCCGCCAGCAGAGGAAACCATCTCCATGCACGACTTGTCGGCATCGATAGTCCAGTCCGTCTAGAAGAATGTCAGAAAGATCGCATCCCTTGATTTGGAGAGGGAAAGACGTGGATGGAATCGCATCACGGACGCACCTCTCCAAGATGCTCGCCTTTCTCCACATGAGACTATGCAGGCGTCAGTTTGTTCTCTACTTAACAGCCCGCGAGCCGTGAATACGTACGATATTGCACACGTAGTTGCGCTGGGTGTAGTCCATGAAAGAGACTGGCTCGGCATCTAGCAAGGCACGATCTCTGTCATCCACAGCATGGCTCTTGAACCAGATCTTGGACTTGACGCGGATCATGCGCAATGCCCTAGCACTCTTCCGGCCGGATGTCATGTCCTACATGATGTCCAGATGTTGGAAAGGTACTGATGAGGGATTGATAATCCGAGTCGGCGCTGGATTTGAGAAAGTAGACGGTGGATGGTGGATGGTGGCAAAGGTTGATGTTGGGGGACGGGGAATCCAAACGGATGACAACTTGGTGCCGAACTTAACATTCAATTACCAACGAACTGGTGAAATGTACGGCTGCCAAATGTCCAGGCAGCAATCCTGATTTAATCTGGGTATCAAACGCGTTATTTGGGCGAAAATTCGGTTATCGCGTCCAAGATTTATAAGAAGGCACGGTGAGTCTAGGGTGACGTTTCAACTTCAGTCAACTTGCAGCATAGGTCGGTGAAGAATTCCATCAAGCTTGGAATAGAAAGTTGAGCAGATGGCTGATCATTGACTAAAAGCTTCTAGCAGAGAATGAAGTGACCTTCTAGTGTGAATGTCACGCCCAATGACTCGGTTAGCTTGTCTCATTCCTATCATGTGGAATGAGTCAATACCTACAGAGTGATGAAGTTGTACCGAGGATTCTACATATTCCCAGATACCTCAGAGTTTATCTCTCCTGCCATGGTAGTCTTCTCGCCTCTGATCAATCTACCACCCTTGTATCATATCATATTATGTTGCTCGACCGGCCTGACATCCAGCCCGATGACAGACGGACCTTGAAACATGGCTTCCATTGGAATGGGCCATGCTCACAACGAGAGCATGTCCAGCGTCGCTCGCTGGTGAAACAACCACTTATCGAGACCTGCTACGTCCTGCGACCTGAGTTCCAATGCTACCACACGTATGTGCATCCACGCAATGAACGACTCTCCATACAAATGTCTCCTGGCGATGACCACATCAAACGCCTGGGCATGCAAACAGAGTGCGACGACCAATGTCTTCAAGAAATCGCGCGCTACGTTGACACATCTCTTGGGGTGTGCGGAACTTGCAAACGTCTTGATACGTGCACTCAACTGCGGCTGGTCCTGAGCTGTGGTCACCTCCATAGGCCTCCTGCAGCGATTCCAAACGACAGACATGTCCGACGACTCGGTCGAGCTGCACTCTGCGATAGTAGCTGCGGTACCATACATAAAACACACAAATTGCCCGGTGTTTGCAGCAGCTGTCAACCGGAACACGGCTGCGTGCACATCGCGTATAAGTTCGAATGTGGCCACCCTGCAGCCATGTCGTTTCTCATTCGCTCTCACCATCATCAACGCCGGATCGCTAGCAACCAAAGGTGCAATGACATCTGCTCGGTGATGCACCGAACTGAAACTAAGCCAGGAATCTGTGGGATTTGTGCTGGAAAGATCGCTATTCGGGAGTCTTGTCACGAGATTGTGAGGACGTGTCACTGCGGTGCCGAACTCAAGGCCGAAAAGAAAGCTGTTACTAAAGACCACTTCAAGGCTGGTTGGTTCTTGTCTTGCAAAGATAGTTGTGATCTTCGGACAGAGTTGGTTAAGACGAGTAAGCGGTGTGTCAGGTGTATCAGGAAGTAGTTACGAGTCATCAATAACTCTAGTCGGTTCTGGAATAGTCTGACGATAAACGCATCCACTTTAGGTAGTTTAGCTACTAAGAATAGTGGTTATGTAGAGCCTACAAGGAAGAATCGTTCGGCCAGACAGTACCGAGTGCACCTATCGTTGACTACAACGTCCAACACCGATAACTTACGTGTTAGAAACTATCTAGGGAGCTTCGAGGCTGATTCTGAATATCCTTCGATACCACTTGATTTCTTCGGCCGGGTCGCCGCAGTATGATTACGTAGAAAGATGGAAAGGAAGCACAATATGCCAAATATTTGTCTAGATCTTCATTTTGGCTAGGTCAGAATCATAGGAAGAAGCTTTGTTCAAAACGAACGGATTAGATGGTTGGCATTCTAGGATGACGTAACCTTCTACCGGCAGCCTCTCCTCCAGATATACTCATAATCTATCGTCACCTTAGCTATAATTCAGGTCCTAGCAGGTCGTCGGATGAACCTCTGCCAAGGAGATTTGATGTAACACGGGAAGTGAGCTGCGGCTCTCAAGAAAGCGCACTTCATATCGTGCAATGTAAAGGTCTCTCCCCACCTTGCCAGTCGATCACTTGGGCGGTAATTCCAATTAACCATGGCGATAGACTTTTCATTGGAAACCGAGAAAGACGAGACGCTGAGAAGTAGCTAGAATACGATGGGGCTGTGATGCTAGTCGGCGGATGCGATGAACACTACCACCCTACACCCGATTCTTAGCATCATCGCTGCTTCGGGTATTATGGTGGTTGGCAGACTCATCTCAAGCAGGTTACACGGTTTCGAGTTCGTCACCATTACTTGACGTGTGTTGTAGTGTGAAATATCTGATGCCTTACTTGCGCGCTTCCTTGCATCCCCAGCAAAGTCCTCTCGTTTGCCGAGTGTCATAAGGACCTTCTCGTTTTCCACACTTACCAAAGCTTTTCCTGTCCTTCAACACTTCAAAACACTTGTGTCGAATGTCGATTTTGTGGTCTTTGGGCCCTCCGCATTTCTCGCAGAGTAGGAATAGGTTTTCGGAGTAACACATTTTCTTCTTCTTGGCTTGAGTTAGGTTTGTCTTACGGACCATCATGTATATATGGGCTTACTTGGTGGTAGGGCATATATATATTGCAGCTTGAATATTCATTGTCATAGAAAGACAAGTGGGTTGTTTCAAGGTGCTCAAATCCTTGTGGTTGTCTAAGTCCTACAACAAAAGGCGTCACGTTTCGCTCGTCCTGCCGCTTAGGAAGATAACGCATCACTGCTCTTGCCGCTCTTCTACGCTGCCCAGGCGTGTTCGTGTCAATGCCTTTTGAGTGAAGCTAGACTTTGGACATAATAACTAGGGCGCAGATCGCAAGTTGTCTAGATAAGAAGCGGCCGGCAAGAATACTGTGAGACGGGGATTTAGTCTGAGCTTTATTAGTATCTTATGGTCCTGATCTGGGACTCCATGTCTTCTGCCTCTTCATCAAGATTAAAAAATTGGGAGACCTTAGAATCATCGACAGAATATGCCTGAAGCGTTATGAGAGAGCTTACAACTAGACTACATCTCATCAGGAATTGCAGAAAGAAGAATGCCATACCGTAAAAATGAACATCAGACCATCAAAAAGAATGCCACGTGCGGGATTTGCACCCACGACTCTTCCGTGGGAGGGAAGCCGGTTAACTACTACCACAACGCGGCGAGGTTCTGAGTCGAATGACGAAAAGGTCTGTCAATAGGGCTTTTATGGCTGGCTGCCTGACACAGACGCGTCTTGTCTTGCCTTGCCTCGCAGACAAAATGGAGGCGCGTCGAAAGATCGCGAGGCTCCCGTGGCAGGAACAACCAACCCCACACGTTTGGTGGCGCCAGGTGGCCCATGTGTCGGATTGCTCTCTTTCCTGGCTTCTGGGGCCAGCAGGACTTAATCCGTGATCACTCAGCTTCGACTCGATTGATCGCTGAACATTATTGGTCTGTCTTCCTGGATCCTCAAGCCAGTCGGCATCAATGTAGGTAGACACGAAAGACTGCCACCGGGCTGTAGGTAGGTATGTATCATCTTCTCATTGCCACTATACAAGTTCAAAGGCAGTAGGTATCTAACTAGATCGCTTTGGCTGAAGGGGGTATATATATGTGATTAAATCAAACAACATCGAGATGGTGTGAACCGCAGTGTTGGCAAGACCCTGCTCATCCAACACTGTTCACGACCATCCCCGCCATCACAGATGCCAACCACATCGGATACAATGGTCTATCGCCACTCCCACACAGCAGTACACGCTCATCAGATGAGGTCAAGGACGGACATAATTGCACCATCCAATGCCGAATTATGTCCAAGGGTATAACGATATGCAGCCAATCCAATCCAATCCAATCCAATCCAATCCGGTTCGATCCAATCCAGGGCACCTGAACAATGCTTTCGGAACGATTGTACGAACCAATGATGATGAACCCAGAAACAACTCGCCACCATCGCTATCAGCCCAATCGCTACCCAACCAGACACACCAGGGCTGTTGATGATTGCATGCCCAAGTATTCGACACATATCAGACAGATCTCATCTTATTCCTCATGTACCACCCGCAAGCTTCCTCCACCAGCTGCTGCGGGGCGTGGTGTCCATGAAAACGGACTCGCGCTGAGCCTTTTCACCACTGCCATCCGACCCACCACGGCGACGCTCACGCTCCTCGCGACGCGCACGACGACGTCTTTGATCATCGTCAAGATCAGTGCCCTCCTCATACTTTGACCGACGACGAGCTCTACGAGCAGCACGGCGAGCTTCTTCATCGTCGGTGGGTGGTGGGGCGTCTGTGGCAGGGCCATCGTCGGGAGGCGGACCAGCATCAGAATGTTCCTTGACCCACGAGGAGGTGCCAGAATGAGGCCAGGCCGGTCGCTTCTTCTTTGGGTCGTCCTCTTTGGGCCGAGATCCATAGACATACTCATCCGGGGGAGTAGACCTGCGACGGCTGGCTTTCACCTCAGCAGCAGAAGGTTCGGCACGACTCGCACGCTTAGCGTCGCGGCGTCGTCTACGCTGCTCCTCCTCCTCGATTTCACCATGGCGTGACTTCCGCCGGTCATCTCGGGCAGATCGTCGCGGCTCCGCGTCGGCGTCCTCACCAGCGGCGGCGGCAGCAGCCTCCTTCTCCAGCTTGCGTAAGCGACGACGCTCTGCTCGTTCAGCCTCTTTGGCATCATTATCATCAGTGGCACGTCGCTCTTCTTCCTGCTTCCGGGCAGCACGACGCTCAGCACGTTTGGCTTCACGCTCTTCTTGTTTACGAGCTTCAGCCTCCTCTTCCTGTCGCTTGCGTCTCTCGCGCCGGGCTTCGTCCTTGGCAACGCGCGCCTCTTCGGCCGCTTTCTCTGTAGCCTTCTCCTCTTCCCGTCTAGCACGCCGAGCAGCACGGCGAGCTTCCTGATCGGGGTCAGCCGCAATACCTCCGGCATCACTTCCACGCGCAGATCGCCGGGCTCTCTTGTCGGGTCTACCTTCATCATCGGTAGTCTGGTACGTGTTGCGGCGCTGAGGTTTGGCGCGAAGGTCGGACTGGGGAGCGTTAGACATCAAGCCTCCGAAGAGACTAGAAAAGCCCTTCTTGGCACTGGAGTTACTTCGCTTCAGGGGGGACGTCTCGGCAGGACCACCAGCATCGACCATGACGATATCATCATCAGTCTTCACCCGCGATTTCCTACGAGAATACTTGTCTGGACTCGAGGCAACATCGACAGCGTCAACCATGACTAGGTCATCATCGTCTGTGGTACGACGTGGCTTATTCTTGCTCCTATCCACACCAAAGATCTTAGCTGCCTTTGAAGACATCTCGGGGATTCCCTCTGGTGGCGGCGACACAAGACCACCCGACATGTCGACAGAATGGCGGCGCGAGCTAGACTTGCCACTTGCGCCATTTCGTTTCTCCCGAGTCGACATTGAGCGCGATATCGGTGGCGTGCTCTGGAAAACGCTGCCAAGACGCGCCTTGGGAGTCATCAGATTTGACGAGACTCTGTCCTGGCGCGGGCGCTCTGCCTTATCCGATGACGAGCCTTTGGATGATGACTTGTCCTCCCGATCTTTTCTTTCTGACCGTGAGCGCTTCTCCTCGGACTTGGACTTCGAAGAAGACTTCTTCTCGTCTTTCTTAGGAGTCGCTGACCACATGCCCCACGATGAACCTCCGTCGCGATTGATTTTCGGCCGGTCCTTCTTCGAAGACTTGACCTCGGGAGGAGGGGAGATGGGCGCGTCGGGAACGGCTGGGGGTGGTGGCGGAGGGACCGCAGGCGGTACATCTTTCGACTTCTTGCTCTTCTTCTTCTTCTTCTCCGGCGACATCTCGATGATTTCGACTATCTCGTTCTCGTCCTCATCTTCGTCTATTGGGAAGCTGCCAGGAATTTCAGAAGATTTCTTGCTCTTTTTCGGAGCAAAGTAGTCGTCTTCGAAGATTTCCACACCCTTCTTAACGGACTTGGATTTCTTATAAACGTCCTTGGGTGGCGCCGGTGGCGGCGGCGGAGGAACAGGTAGCGCGTCAATCAGGTCATCTTCCGCTACTGTCTCAAATGCCTTGAGCTTGTCAGCAATTTTACTCTTCTTCGACTTCTTCATGGAATCGGCCGCAATGGCCTTCGAAGAGGATGGCGTGTCCTTCTCGCTCGTGGCATCTTCCAGAAGCTTTGAGTCAGCTGTGTTAATCTCGGCTGCTGCCGAATGGTTAGTCTTGGCGATCTGGGGTACGCGGTTTGATTGCGTGATGGCCTGAGGCAACGAACCTTTCTTCTTTGAGACACCCCAAATCTGGAATGGGTCGGACTTATCGTTGGTTGTCGGAGATAAGAACTCATCAAGCTCATCAATTTCAGCAGGGTTGAGTTCGATGTTATCAAGATCCAGATCCTTGTCCTTGTCCTTCGAAGAAGACTTCTCCTTGCTGGACTTGGATTTCTTATCGTCGGATTTTGAGCTCTTCTTGGACTTCTTCTTCGGGGCGGCCTCTTCAGCTTCCTGTCGCTCACGTTCAGCTTGTTCTTCGGCTTCCTGAGCAGCTTGCTCTTCGGCTTCTTTCGCAGCTAGCTCTTCGGCCTCTTTCGCAGCTAGCTCTTCGGCCTCTTTCGCAGCTAGCTCTTCAGCCTCTTTCGCAGCTTGCTCTTCGGCGCGTTGATTAACACTCTCGGTGAGACGATTGAACTTCTCCTGATCTTTCTTGGTGAGTTTGCGCTTGGCTTGCTTTGCTGTAAGCGCGGCGAGCTCATCTTCCTCCTGGGCGATGGCAGCAGATTCGGCTTCCAAGCGGTCGCGCTCAGCTTGCTCTTCAGCCTCTTTAGCAGCCAGTTCATCAGCTTCCCTCTGAGCTTGTTCTTCAGCTTCACGAGCAGCTTGCTCTTCGGCTTCACGTTGAACAGCCATTTCGGCGTCTTTGGCCTCCTGCTTGGCCCGCTCCTTCTCTGCCTTCTTCTTCTCCTTCTCGAGCTTCTCAAGCTCTTTCTTACTCAGCTTGGGCTCTTTCTCCTTGGACTTCTTGTCGTCCTTCTCCTTGTCTTTCGATTTGGACTTCTTGGAGGTGGATGGCGAGTCATCCCAGACATTTGTCTCGAGTTCTTGTTCCGGTTCTTCCATGTCCATGGAGGGAGGGGTGGGAGCTGGAGGTGGAGGATCAGTCAATGCATCCTTCTTAGACTTTTTCTTTTTCTTGGAGGAGGTGCCAAAGGTCCAGTCATCGCCGTCGACCATGCTGTCCTTGTTTTCCTCGACGGAGTCGGGTTTGACAGCGCCAATGTGGGATCCGTCATCGAGTTCAATGGGTGCATTCTTGCTGGACTTACTCTTCTTGGATGTTGACAAGGCCCAGATGTCATCTGTCTTAGGCTCTTCAATCGAGTCAGGTTTGAGACTGCCATCGGCATTCTTCTTTTTCTTCTTGTCCTTTTTGCTGCTGCCAAACGCGGACCAAAAGTCGTCATCGCCGCCACCACCACCATCACCAGCTTCCGGAACAGCAGGTGGAGGGTCAACCTCGGGAGCGGGCTCGAGCTCCTTTTCTAGTTCTACTAAAGCACTTGAAGTCTTGTCCTTCTTCTTGGTGGTCTTTTTAGTGGCACCCCAGAAGCTCCAAGCACTGTTGGTCTCCTCGGCGGCCGGTTCGGCTTCAGGTTCAGGTTCAGGTTCCGGCTCTGGCTCCAGCTCCGGCTCCGGCTCTAGCTCTGGCTCTGGCTCTGGCTCTTTCGGAGCCTCCTCAACCTTTCCCTTCTTCTTTTTCTTATCCTTCTTTGAGGTTGTGATGCCCCACATATCAGCTTCAGGCTCAGGTTCAGGGGCAGGTGGAGGCGGCGGAGGTAGAGGTTCAGGCTCAGCAATCTTGCCCTTCTTCTTCTTGTCCTTTTTGCTGGTACTAAAACCCCACATATCGTCATCGTCGTTCTTCTCCTCGACGACTGGTTCCGGTTCAGGCTCTGGCTCCGGCTCCTTGGGAGGCTCCTCCACAACACCCTTCTTCTTCTTCTTCTTATCCTTCTTACTAGTACCGAACCCCCAAATATCGTCGTCATCCTTCTTCTCCTCAACGACAGGTTCCGGTTCCGGTTCCGGCTCAGGGTCCTTTGGTGGCTCTTCGATGATGGCGCTCTTACCCTTCTTTTTCTTGTCCTTCTTGGAAGTCGAACCC